GCACAACCGTGCGATTGTCGATTGTTTCGCAGTTAATTCAACTGTCAAAATCGAGCAGTGTCACTTCCGTTTAAGCTCATAGGTATCAAAGCGCGACTTGTTTCGTCAAAGGTCTCTTACCTTTCAGGTCAATCCCACGCTTTAAAAATTGTAGACATTAAGGTATTATTAGAAGTTTATGAAGCAGTGATTTAAAACACATTTCCCTTTATAAATCAACTAACTTTTGCCGAATCTGAATCGTCATTGTATTAACTTTAACAAAATTGAAGAAACTGAACAAAGTTTTCTTATTATAATCATTTGAATAATGCAAAGTAAACGTATTTGGCCGTAATTTCCACAAGGGAAAGGAAGAAAGATATAGAGTTAAGTCTAAAGTAATATTATTGAATACATAATGGTATTGTTAAAAAGAAACTTTGGTCACAAGTCCAACAAAAAATTTGTAAAAATTAAAATAAATTTGAACAAGTTTCGTCCCACGACTGAAATAATACGATACTGCTTAATGTGTTTTTTTTATTATTTTTTTAAATATCTTGTGTAATTAACTAAATACAATCCAGAAGATAAGAATAATCTCAATATCACTCATTAAAAATCACACTAATATAGATGCAAATGTTTAGATGGATGAATATTTGGTAGAGTTTGTAGCCTAAACGGCTGTGCGGATTTTGATGAAATGTGGCATAGATGTAGAGGATAGTATGGAAGAACACATGGGCTACTGGTTTTGTTAACTTCACGCAGAGGGTGTCGTTAGCAAAAGCTAGAGTATTTATAAAAAGGGTTCAAAGTAATTTTCATTTGCAATTAGTGGTTTTAAGATATTTCCTTTACAACTGTAAGTTCAACAACCTTGGCTTGTTTTTCAGCAAATAAGATTCCGCCTTTAATTTACAAGAAAACAAACTTCGCTTTACTCTTTAATTACGGGTTATATTTATTTATTTTGGTGTTTTTGACAGGGTCGAGTCTTTAATTTCTTTGAGACTGTAATAACTTTCGAAACATATCTTACTTCTTACTAATATTATAAATGCGAAAGTTTAGATGGATGTTTGTTTGAGTTTGTAGCCTAAACAGATGAACGGATCTCGATGAAATTTGGCATGGATGTAGAGCATAGTCTGGAACACATAGGCTACTTAATTTTGTTTTTTAAAATTCTGAGCGGACGGAGTCGCGAGCGAAAGCTCGTGATAATAAGTGTAAGTGCTGAGTACAAAATACAACATCTTTGGCTGACAAGCAGTACGAATACAGCCAAAGAGGTTGCATGCTGGCCACGAACGTTTGCTTTATTTATTAAAAAAAATAGTGAAAAACAAGAGAAGGAAGAGACGCGTACAAGATGTGATCACTCGATAGTCTTGTCCTTTGTAAAACATGTAAATAAGCTTGAATAAAGATGTTTTTAGTTAGAAGAAAAGTTTTTGTTTGTAAGAAGTTTAAGATAGCTCTACCTATGAAAGGTTCTGATCTAAATTGACTGTTACGTGTCCTAAAACTATTGATGTATCTAAAAATAACAAGAAATATAAAGGTGTGAAGTCCTCACTTCGAACAATGAAATACGACGTTTCGCGCCTTATTACCGAATCAAGATGGCGGCTGTTGCCTTGATTTATGTCGGATCGAATGCGATCTTTCAACTCGGGTCGAGGTGGAGGGATGACTGACATACCGATAAATAAATTAGATTCGAGATTAGGGTCGAGCCTGTTGCTTTGCGAAATATTACATGTCGGTACAATACAAAACTTAAAATATTTCGTGTATGAAATAGTTTAAATAGGAACTTAATAATCAAGTACTTGCTGAATCTATTTCATTGGTCTGTATTAACGCTAAATGACATGCATAGTTGTAGTGGTAGAGCCCGCTTTAACTTCGTCCCAGGCATGGGTCAGCTCGCCCGATGCAATACCTCGACCACAGAATGCAGGCGTGATTCGTCCGATGAGTGTGGTGCCGGAGGCCTAATTTTAGTCCCTTTCCCGTTCCATACTTTTCTGATAAGAAAAGGATTGGTTGAAAAAGTGGATTTGATGGTGGAGGAGATGCATCGGAAAGGGAAATGTTCTCTTTATGTGCGTCTTTTCCTCCTTCAATTAACGGTAGGCAACGCACCTGTAATTGCGGATGTCTGTAGGCAGGGGTCGCAGTGGCATTTCGGTGGATTTAGGTGGCCGCTTGGTTATTTGCCACCTTATGATATAAAAAAGGTGCAGGCAAGAAAGTTGAAGTACAAACTGTACTAGAATGTTCACTAAGTAATGTAATTTTAAAAGATGCCTTCAAGTCCGGAAATTTGCGTTTCAAATGATGTTAAAATATGATTTTCAATATCTGGTCTCGACCCTGATCCTCGATCTGCAGACCGCAACGAAGCCCCGGCGACTCCATTAGAGCGTTATGAATATTAACGGGCGACACGCGCCTAGCGTTTTGTTGGTACATTTTGAGGGCAGAATACGTGCTTGTGACACACGGCTCGTTAGACTGACAAGCTGTCATACACTAACACTAGTTCGGGTAACATGGTTGTAAATGTTACTTCTCACTTCTTGTTAATATTATTAAAGCGAAAGTTTATATGGATGAATAGATGTTTGTGAGAGTTTGTAGCGTAAGCGGCTGAATGGATCCCGATGAAATTTGACATACTTTTAGAAGATAGTCTGGAAGAACACATAAGTTGTATTTTTTTAAATTCCACGCGGACGGAGTCGCAGGTGAAAGCTAGTCTAATAAAAAATATTAGCATGTCAACGAATTCTATGACATTTCATCTCTTCCAAATCACTCAGACGCTGAGTTTATGACAATAAGTATTTATTTTTCACAAGCATCTATTACTTATATCAAAAGAAGTTTGTAAAACGCTTAATTAATGCTAGTACTTATTACAAAAATGGCATTAAACAATTTAATGTTATACAAAAAAGTACTATTTATAATTTACGAGCTGTTGCCCATGACTTCGTCCGCGTGTTATTAGAAAACATACAAACTATATAAATAACAAAAAGCTACGTATCCCTCGGGAACCGGACATTTCTCGGGGATGAACCTTATCCAATATTTACTCCAGACTTTGTTTTATATCTGTGCCAAATTTGAATAAGATATGTTGAACCGTTGTAGAATGATCGAGAAAACATTAAAATACTGAATTAATGAATCCCACGGGAACCGTAACTATTCCCGGGATAAAAGTAGCCTATGTGTTCTGCCAGACTATGTTTTAAACCTGTGCCAAATTTCATAGGATCCGGTCAGTCGTTTAGGCTACAAACGCTAACAAACATCCATACGTCCATCTAAACTTTCGCATTTATAATATTAGATTAGTAAGATTTCATTCTTCGAATGTATTTAATTTTAATTGTTTTATAAGTCCGCGAATCTAACCGTCAATGTGTCTCAACAATATGCAGGGCTGAACAAAGAGATCATTTCGAGCGCTGTTTGCGGAATGGGCTTGGAATGGGCCGCGGCTTTGCATTCCCCTGCTCCACTCCTGTCAGAGGAATTTACTCATCTAAACCAGGGCTTTTATTATTTCTAAAGAGTTTTTATTTACGTGACTGGGGAATGTAACACTTTTTTATATCAAGGAACTATAAATTATATTTGTGGCTGATATTTTTTAAATTCTAATTTATCACCTAAAACAAAAGAAAACATGTCAAATTTCTTTTTTTGACCGACTTCCCAAAAGAAGGAGGTACTCAATTCGTCTGTACGTTTTATTTTTTTTTTAACTTTTTTTTTTTATAATAAGTTGGCAAACGAGCAAGCGGCCACCTGAATCCGCTAAAATGGCGAAGCGACCGCTACCCATAGACATCCGCAATTGCAGATGCGTTGCCTACCCTTATACGACGGAGGAGGAGTTGCACATAAAGAGGATATTTTCCCTTCCTATGCATCTCCTCCACCGTCAAATCCACTTACCTGTCCCATCCTCTCCTTACAAAAAAAGGTTGGTAAAGAGAATGGGACTTAAATTAGGCCTCCGGCAGGCCTAATTTAGTCCTAATTTTAGTCCCTTTACCTTTCCACCCTTTTATTAAGAGCAAAGGATGGGACGAAAAAGTGGATTTAACAGTGGAGGAGACGCATAGGAAGGGGAAATGTCCTCTTTATGTGCGTCTCCTCCTTCGTTAATTAAGGGTAGGCAACGCATCTGCAAATGCGGATGTTTATGTTTATGGTGGATTCAGGTGGCCACTTGCTCGTTTGCCACCTTATATTACACAAAAAAAAAACTACATATGTAATACAGATTACATTCTTTGACAATCAGGTAAAAAAGGTTTTTACATCGAATTTCGATTAGAACACCATTTATAAAGGCTCAAGAAAGGCAATATAGAGTACTTCCTTTTATACTGAAGTGTTCTTATCCTCACCCCGAAAATTCTATACAAAAGAACTCCTACAGTTTGCGTTTCTCTTTTGTTACGCCAATTAGTTACGTAGGCGCTTTGTCTTGTAACATGAACCGGCTCGCCCGGTGCAATACCACGACCACACAGAAGACAGGCGTGAAATGGAAGCAATTCCGTGTTTCGTCTGATGAGAGTGGTTCGGCAGGCCCAATTTTAGTCCCTTTTCCTTTCGCTTAGGATGGGGCAATATCCTGTTTATTTGCGTCTCCTCTTCTTTCAATTCTGGGTAGGCAACGCATTTGCAAATGTCGATGTTTATGGGCATCGGTCGCTTCACCATGTCGGCGCCTTGCCGCCTTATGTTAATGTAAAAAAAAACTATGCCGGCTAGTCCGTTGCACTACCACCACGCAGAAGACAGGCGAAAGAGATGGATTGCGTGAAAGGTGACATGATCAAGAAGGGAGTGACTGAAGACGTATGTTATGTGGAGGTCAAAAACCTGTTGCGCCCTACGGGAAAAGGATAAGATTATGATTGACATTTGTGTTTAGGTGGTGAATGCGGTTCTTATTACCGGTGATGAGGTGACAATATGTGGAGCGAGTGGCGCTGGCTCCTGGTCTTGCTGAATGCCGTTGCCGCTCTCTCGCCTGTCATCAAAATTGGTGAGTATAAGTGCTATTGTACACGAGGTGATGTACATTTTCGTAACACGTAGTCTTTACTGTTCTAATTCGCCTGAATTCGCCTGCGTTAAATTAATCATACTAATATCATTTTGATATTATAAATGCGAAAGTTTAGATGGATGGATGTTTGTTAGAGTTTGTAGCCTAAACGGCTGAACGGATTTCGCTGAAATTTGGCATACATAAGAGGATAGTCTGGAACAACACATAAGTTACTTGCTTTTGTTTTTTTTTTAAATTCCGCGCGGACTGCGTCACGGGCGAAAGCTTATAAAAAAAATATAGCCTATGTTACTCACTGATAACTTAGCTTTTTAATGGTGAAGGAATTTTTGATATCGGTCTAGTAGTTTTTGAGTTATTTCAATACATACAAAAATACTTATCTTTTTTTAATATTAGTAAAGCTTTGTCATAGTGAACTATTTTTTTCACCTGTACTTTTCAGAAAGGTACTACATCAGTAGTCAAGTTTAGCGCCACCTCGTGTCCTAGCATTTATATGCAATAAAACATTTTATAAAGTTATAATAACCTCCATCTTTTGATTCCTTCCCTATAATACAAACTAAACAGTGTTACAAAAAAAATATCTCACCTGCATATTTATCTCTGTCATAATTAGTAGCCTTTCGAGATCGTCACTTTTCGCTACACTTTCAAAAATGGCGGAGCAAATCTATCAGTTGTAACTTTGCAACTATTTTTTTCCCGCAGGCGCTATATTCACGGAGGAGGCACGAGGCGGCAGCGCAGAGCTCGCGTTTAAGTACGCCGTGTACAGAATCAACAAGGAGCGCAATCTGTTACCCGGGAGTACACTCGTCTATGACATACAGTATACTACGTCTAGAGACACTTTTAGGACATATAAAAAAGGTTAGTACATGTACTACAGTACGAAACACGGTTCTTACATGTTTTTTAAGATGACAGGAGTTTTTGGCGGACATGTCGCTTCTGTCTATTCCATTTTGTACCCTTTTCGTCCAAGCAAAGTAAAAGAAAGTGTAATTCTCTCTCTGTTCGTACTTACACTCTTAATTGATTATTTTAAGATAGGCAAGGCAAGTCGTTTCGCTAATTTATTGAATTCCGGTGGCCATTTACGTTTGTCAACTTATATTTACTATTTAAAAAAAAAATACGCCTCATATTCATAATCGTAAAACATCAAAAGCCTTTGCCTTTTGCATTAAAAAAAACCATCTGTCAAACTCGAATGACAAGTGAATGTCATTGTCATTCGCGACACAGATAGCTAACAGCTCTTCAGTCATTGTTAAAACACAAAGAAATCTGTGCAAAATGATATTCCATTGTGATGTACAATAGAACTTTCTGGAAACATTGACGCTTACCTCGTTAAGCAAAAACCGGAATGATTCCCCGTCGAATATTTATTGAAAATAATCATAAATCAATGTTATATTTTTAAATATTTAAATATAACCTCATAGGAATCGAGACTAAACAGTTTTGCAATAGTTTCAGATATGCGCACGCCCTTTTTATTTCTATTTTTTTTATAACATAAGGTGGCAAACGAGCAAGCGGCCACCTGAATCCGCCAAAATGGCGAAGCGACCGCTGCCTATAGACATCTGTAATTGCAGATACGTTGCCTACCCTTATCCGACGGAGGAGGAGATGCATAGGAAGAGGAAATATCCTCTTTATGTCGTCGTCTCGTCGAATCCACTTCCCATCCTCTCATAAGAAAAGGGTGGTAAAGAGAAATGGACTTAAATTAGGCCTCCGGCACCACGCCTGTCTTCTGTGTGGTCGTGGTATTACTGGGGGCGTGCCGGCCCTGCAGTGCTAAGATGTTAAAGCGGGCACTACCACTGTTAGTCTAGAAAGAACAATAACTTCACTAATTGCTCGAAGCCAGTTTTTGACAGCATGTTAATGCCAAAGTAATTTACGTTTGACGTTAATTTTACGCGATTAATGAAGGTTTTTAATTTTAATTCCGTTGGAAACAAACACTTTTTTTATTGCAAAATTGCTACGTTTTAAGAAATATTTCTCCTTAAAGTGCTAAATATTTCGAATTTAATTATTGACAATTTATTTTGAAAATCATACAATGTCATATTTCTATTCTTTAAACAACCATACTATCATACTAATAATATAAATGCGAAAGTTTAGATGGATGGATGGATATTTGTAGCCTAAACGGCTGAACAGATTTCGATAAAGGTGTAGATGTAGAGGATAGTCTGGAAGAACACATAGGCTACTCACTTTTGTTTTTTAAATTCCACTCGGACGGAGTCGCGGGCAACAGCTAGTTTAAAAATATAACAGACTTGTGATTTAAAATCATATTAAAGTATCGTTGTATTTTCCGCTTGAAAGAGCGCCTGTTAAATTTCACGAGCAATTCCTCTTTCCCCCTTCTTTATAGTCGAGACTAGGCGTCACGGTTGTTAGTATGCGGATCGAGCGCTATTATGTTTAGCATTAAAACGCTTAAAGTTGTATAACTTTGTTATTTGTGGATTAAGTTAGTTATTTAGATGCGTTAAATATCAATAATATAGAAATTAAATACGATAGCTTTGAATTTCATTTACGATTTATCCAATTTCATTCAAAAAGCCTTGTAAACCTTTCCACCCTTTTCTTAAGAGAAAGGATGGGAAGGAAAAGTGGTTTTGACGGTTGAGTAGACGCATAGAAAGGTGAAATGTTCTCTTTATGTGCATCTCCTCCGTCAATTAAGAGTAGGCAACACTGCAATTGCGGATGTCTATGGGCTGCGGTCCCTTTCCATTTCGGTGGATTTAGGTGGCCACTTGCTTGTTTGCCACCTTATTTATATAAAAAAAAGTTTTTTTTGGATGTGATCAAAGTTTTTAATTCTAAGATTACCTCGGTCTGTTTACTTTGAATTCAAATTGAACTTAGTTAGAACGCGTTCAGAAACTTGATAAGATAATTTTATAACTTCAAAATTGTCTATTGTTCCAAAAACTTATCGAAGTCTGTAGGGCGCGGTTGGGCGACCGCCCAGGGCGTTTATAGTGGTGCCACAGGTCGCCCAGGGCGTTAAATATGTCTATACGGGTTATGTCTATAAACATTGCATTTCTTACTTAATAACACTTAAGTCTTTTAAGAGATTCCGTGACCTTTGACATATAAGTCATCGAGATAACGTCTAGGCTTCGTTTAGCACGAACTTAGGTCGTCTTGGTCGCTTTAGTTATTAGGTCAATTGACTGTCTATACTAATACGTAGTAAAGAGTAAATAAGCATTGGTATTTTTCTTAAAAAATTGATTGGTACAGTTGTACATTTTACGAAATGAGTATATTAGAGGAAGTTTGAAAGCCAGTGGTTGAGAAAATAAGGAGTAAAAGGTTAGTATGGGCATATTATGAGAAGGGATGAATCGCATGTAACAAGAAGGATGTTAGTTATGAATGTGGAGGTACACCGGTAGAGGTAGACATAGAAAGAGATGGATTGCGTGAAGGTGACATGATCAAGAAGGGAGTGATGACTGAGATGACGTATGATAGAGTTATTTGGAGGACGAAAAAAAGCGTACCCGGGAGTAGGATAAGGCACCTTTGACTACAATCGCACAACTATTGTGCGCCAAATCAACTGTTTTGTTGAATTATCCAAGGTCGGACTAGTATAATAATAAGTTATTTAACGGCTTATTCACGTCATACTTTTTTCCGGTGACGGCACCGACCAGTTTCTGTCACTGCGACCACGTGCGAGGCGCGACGCGACCGCGATATATCTTTAACCCTCGCCCTGAAAGACCCCCGCAGGGTCTGAAACTGGTCGGTGCGGTCACCGGAAAAAAGTATGACGTGAATAAGCCAATTATAAAATGTCTTACGAAAGTTTAAATAATTTAATAGTATAATAATGTTCGATTTTCAAATAAAATTGAATGGACTGATCATTGGAATACGAGTATTTTTAGGTCAATAAGCCACTTTCTGACTGAACTCGCCGAAATAATACGTACCTTTCCGTTAGATTTTATAGGTTAAGTGCTTTTTGATTTAAAAAAAAGTTGCAGACTAACTTGAACAAGTAATTTATGATTTATTAGTTGTTGCCCGCGACTTCGTACATGCAATATTAAGATAAAAAGCCTATGATACGAGTATGTCCGTCTATGTCAGCTACCCTTCAGTGAAAGTCCGGTCAAAATCGGCCCAGCGGCCGGAGATTACCCGGAACAAAGGCTTGCGGACAGACAGACAAAAATTTGTAAATGCGATTTTCGTTATCAGCAACGCAAATGATTCCTTCCCAAAATCTAAAATTATTCTTTTGATATTACAGACACTCGAAATTTATTTTATAATATGTATAGATAAAGCATATTCAAAATAATTAAAACAAAACATATTAACCGTCTAACTCAACGCGATAATAGTTTCGCGCGTTTGTACAGTTGCGAAAACCCGCGGTGTTCCACGTATAGAAAAAGTAGCTTTCGCCCGCGACTCCGTCCGCGAGGTATTAAAAAAAAGCAAGTGGCCTATGTGTTCTTCCAGACTATACATGTATGCCAAATTTCATTGAGATCCGTCCAGCCGTTTAGGCTACAAACTCTAACAAACATCCATCTAAACTTTCGCATTTATAATATTAGTTTGGTATAGTATGATTGTTCCTTGTAACTCCGTAATTTAAAAATAACAACAGAAAGCAGTAAAAACACTCTACACGAAATTTAAACACACATTGCGTTAGCTTTTTTTAACGTTGTAAATGCGATAACCAATTTATTTGAGACAGATTTCGATACGTAGCACTAGCAGTTTGGATACGTTCCAAAAATTCAGATTCAGCATTGCAGCCAGGTAGTTTTAAAAACAAACATTTTGAGGTTATATATATTTTTTTTAATAACATAAGGTGGCAAACGAGCAAGCGGCCACCTGAATCCGCTAAAATGGCGAAGCGACCGCTGCTCATAGACATCTGCAATTGCAGATGCGTTGCCTACCATTATACGACGGAGGAGGAGACGCACATAAAGAGGATATTTCCTCTTCCTATGCATCTCCTTCATCGTCAAGCCATTAAACTTAGGGGGTAAATATTTTGGATATAAACCCTAATGTGGGAAAGAGACCATAAGTAGCTACCAACATCAAGGAAGCAAGGTTATCGAGGTTTGTCTTGCCATGTCTGATAATGTGACAAATGTAAACAATAAAATAAAATTTTCACAATTTCATGCGGATGAAGCCGCGCGGAAACAGCTAGTTATGTTAATAAAAAAAACGCAAAATTATGGCTTAAGGAGCCATCGATTTGTCAGTTATTTTAGGCATCAAAAAAGCAGAACTTAAAAAAATCTAATTTTAGTATTTGCATGTCTGAATTTGATGAATAGGTGTGTTCTTTATTTTCCTCGTTTCTTTTGAGATGTGACTAAGAATTTTCTGTTTCCATTTCAACGCCTTTCAAAGGTTCTCAAAGAGGCGTATTTACTCACCACTTGTTTAAAGATAAAAAAAAGACGAGCGGACTCTCCGCAAACTTATTCGTTAAAACATCTGAAGTGACTGTGGATTTTCATTACAAACAACCACAGGGACGTTTATTTCATTACCATTCCATTGAAAAATCATTTTAGAGCTGGCATTCCTTTAATTAAACGCACAACTGTTGTACGATTGTCGATTGTTTTGGCTTCAACTGTTTAGTTTGACAGTGGTAGAGCCCGCTTTAACATCTTCGCACGGTGCCAGCTCGCCCCCAGTAATACCACGACTACACAGAAAACAGACGTCGAGTGGAAGCAATTCCGTGTTTCGACTGATGAGTGTGGTGCTGGAGGCCTAATTTTAGTCCCTTTCCCTTTCCCTTTCCACCCTTTTCTTAAGAGGAAAGGATCGGAAGGAAAAGTGGATTTGACGGTGGAGGAGATGCATAGGAAGGGGAAATGTCCTCTTTATGTCCGTCTCCTCCGTCAATCAAGGGTAGGTAACGCATCTGCAACTGCGGATGTCTATGGGCAGCGGTCGCTTTCCATCTCGGTGGATTCAGGTAACCGCTTGTTTGTTTGCCACCTTATGTTACAAAAAAAAAATAACTAAAAACCGGATAGAGCACCTCCATATAAGCTTATAGGAATCAAAGCGCACTAGTCTTGGGCTTAATCGGACATCTGCAAGTGTGCACCGTACTAGTACAATTGGGAAAACGTACTAGTACACACTTTTAGTACGCTTAGTACTTCAGATTTGTGAAAACACAATACATGAATAGAGTATAACGAGGGTTATATAATACTTCACATCAAATTTTAAGCAGGGTCAAACATATGTTATTAGCGAAAATAAATTTAGTTATGAATAATTTTATCCACTTTTGATTCTCATTATCGAAGGTGGATGCTTCAATCTGACAAAAAGGCGAACACCGATATCGTGTAGTGTACTAAAAGTACTAAATGTCCGATTAACAGAAGCCGTTCGGTAATATTACTTTTTAGTACATCGTACGTGTACTACCCAAGACTAGTGCGCACGATCTAACACTCACTTTGGTGTTTGAAAACAATTAACTTACACGGGTTTCTATCCTTGTTAGTATTCGTATTGTCGTCTCTTTTTTGTCAAAGATAATGTAAGGTACAGACTTTATTTTGTACACTGCAGTTATTTTTAAAAGTATAATTTCACTGTTAATAATCCAAACCATGCTTGGAAATTTGTACGAACTAATTTTCCTATTTATCCTACTCCCGTAGCGCAACAGGTTTTTGTCCTCCACATAACTCTATCATACGTCATCTCAATCACTCCCTTCATCATGTCACCTTTCACGCAATCCATCTCTTTCTATGTCTACCTCTACCGGTGTACTCATAACTAACGTTCCCCTTGTTATATGCGATTCACCCCCTTCCCTTAATACATCATTTTGAATCTTACTAATATTATAAATGCGAAAGTTTAGATGGATGGATGTTTTTAGAGTTTGTAACCTAAAGGGTAAACAGTTCTGGTACAGAAGCAAAGTATAGTCTGGAAGAAATCATAGGCTACTTAGTTTTTTTAATTCTACGCGGACGGAGTCGCGGGGGAAAGCTAGTGTTATATAAAAGTAATCTTATCTTACTGATATTATAAATACGAAAGTTTAGATAGATGTTGGTTAGAGTTTGTAACCTAAACGGCTAAAGGGATCTTGATGAAATTTGGCATAGATGTAGAGGATAGTCTGGAAGAACACATAGACTACTCGCTTTTGTTTATTTTAATTCCGCGCGGACGGAGTCGCGGGCGAAAGCTAGTTGATTAATATCCCTCAAAACATTGTCTTCCAAAAGTTGGAACAAAGTTTAATTAAAACATTAATCTGTGTCAAAATGTGATTTTGTTCTAATAATTAATTTCAACTTTGCCGAAGAGATGAAACTGTCACTGAAGGGCTTTTATTAGAGCCCCTAAGGCCCCTAATCATCATCACATCAACAGCTCACTATACGTCCCCACTGAGGGCCTCGGAGCCTACCCTAAGTTAGTGACTAGGCCATAGTCAACCACGCTGCACTGCGGGTTGGTTGACTTCACACATATCTTTGAATTTCTTTGCCGATATGCATCACGATATTTTCCTTCACCGTAAGAACGTCGGGTAAATTATGTACATATGAAAATTCGAAAAATCAAATTGGTACGGCGGGATTCGAACACAAGACCTGTAGAATACAAGTCAAGTGCTTAAACCACTGAGCCACCGACGCCCCCTAATATTCTTTGTAGTAACTAACCATTATTTTATTTGCAGCGTGTACACAGATCCGCGCAGGTGCGGTAGCGTTGCTGAACAGCGCTGGACCCTTGTTAGGCGCAACTTTAAGCGCCATGTGTAGATCTCTACACGCACCACATCTGACAGTCGCACATAATATGCCAGAACGTAAGTAACCAATGTTTTTAAAGCGCCGAAATAGCGAAGCAACCACTGACTGCAAAGCAAATGTATTGTCTATTTTTCATTCCAGCTTTAATTTACATTACACATTACGCATTACGCATTACACATTACACATTACACATTACACATTACACATTACACATTACACATTACACATTACACATTACACATTACACATTACACATTACACCGTACACAGTACACATTACACATTACACATAACACATTACACATTACACATTACACACTACACATTACACATCACACATTACACATTACACATTACACATTACACACTACACATTACAAATTACACATTACACACCAACACCTCACATATACCTCTAATTTCTTCTTCATTTTTTTAAGTATTACATATCTGTTTATTTTTAAGTTTGTTATTATAAGATTCATTGTGGACTATGTGGCGGGGGCCTGGTGATCCATTACATAGGGCACCATCCTAGTTTGGACTCGTCCCCTGCCCAAGGGGAAAAATTAATAAATTATTTTATTTATTTTATTTAATAGATGGAATAGGGGACGCACAAAACAAAGATCCCCAACCTATGGGTCATTCATCAAACCCACTTTCTTTCCTCACCTTTCCTTAAAAGAAATGTGCCAGAATTTTATCTAAACTAGCTTTCGCCAGCGACTGTCCGCGTGGAAATAAAACAAAAGTGAGTAGCCTATACGTTCTTCCAGACTCCACTCTACGTCTATGCCAAATTTCATCGTAATCCATTCAGTCGTTTAGGCTACAAACTCTAACATCCATCCATCTAAACCTTCGCATTTATAATATTAGTAAGAGGTAAGACTGTTGTGCGATTGTCGATTGGTTTCGCAATCCAACTGTTTAGTTACACAACTAACGAGTAGTGTACCTCCATAAGCTCATAGGAATCAAACTAAACAATTGTGCGATAGTTTAGTCAAAGATGTGCGCACTAATACTGTCCTACGTAAATGCAATACTTCATACTAATATTATAAATGTGAAAGTTTAGATGGATGTTTGTTAGAGTTTGTAGCCTAAACTGCTGAACGGATCTTGATGAAATTTGGTATAGGTGTAGAGGATAGTCTGGAAGAACACATAGGCTACTCAGTTTTTTTTTTAATCCCACGCGGAATCGCGGAAAGCAAGTATCATATAAATCCACCTATTTTCATAATACTTTACCTTCAAAGGTTTTTCCAAGGACCCTTTGAGATATTATCATAATATTGTATTTTTAATATTAAATATACTTTATGATGATTGATGAGCAGTACGGAGTTTTCATTTTTATATAAAACCTCTTGGTGGATAAATATTTAAATTATAAACCCAACGGCTGATAGATGTATGAAAGAGAAAAAAATATGTACCTGCCTTGAAATAAATGATTAATGTGTCTAAATAATTTAGATTAGTTTGACAATTCATTTCAAATTTAGTAGGGATGGGTTGTGTAATCAGTCATGAATCTTATCGATTTTCGATTTTTATTCTTATAAAAGTTGGAATCGATAGATTCATAGTTATAACTTATGAATTAAAAACACTGTTTTCTCAAATTAATAATGACCATTGCAAATAATGAGTGTAAATAAATGTTTATTACTACTGCAGCCGTACGTAATCGAATTGGATTTCGCTATTATTATTGTCATTGTTAAATTCTCTACACTATAATCAATACTAGAATTGTCCTCTAAATTAGTTAATAAGAAAATAATAGTTTTAAGTACGTTCGATTTTCATTTAAACCGAATATCGATAGTTCATAATTGTTCGCTGCGTGTTTCTTTCATCACTACGATACCTGTCTATTAAGTATGGCATTAACCTTCATATAGATTGAATTCGATACTTCATATGCGTTATTTATCAAACTAATCTATCTTATTTAGACAAACTATAAAAATATTACATACTGGCTGTTGCTGATGACTTCGTTGTTGATTTAAAATAAATTGTAAAAAAAATATAACTGTACTCGGCGATAATATAGCTTTTTAATGGTGAAAGATTTTTTGAATTCAGCCCAGTAGTTCTTGAGTTATTTCAATAGATACAAACACTTAAATCTTTCCTCTTTAGAACATTACTAGCTGTAGCTTGTGACTTGGCCCGCGTGAAATTAAAAAATATAGCTTACGTTACACACAGATAAATTTTGAACAGATTACCTTTCTAACGGTGAAAGATTTTTTAAATCTGCTTAATAGTTTTTGAGTTATTTAATACATACAAAAATACAAATCTTTTCTCTTTATATTAGTATAGATAATAGATTAACTGTTGCTTGCGACTTCGGCTGCATGAAATAAAAATGCAGCCTATGTTACTCACTAATAACGTAGCTTGTAAATGTTGAAAGAATTTTTGACATCGGCGCAGTTTTTGAGTTTATATAGATACAAAAATGAAAATCTTTCCCCTTTATAATATAAGTATAGACTAGCTATCCCCGTGCGACTTCATCCGCATGAAATTATGAAAATTTTATTTCATTGTGTACATTTGCCAAATTTTCAATAGCAAATGTCAAAATGACATGACATAACAAACCTTGGCAATCTTGCTTCCTTGATGTCGGCAGCAACTTATGGTCTCTTTCCCACATTAGGGTCTTTTTTCAAAATATTAACCCCTAAGTTTAAACGCGTGAAAATATATAGCCTAAAGCAAGTGTAAGTGTAGGGCTTTTTATTAAAAAAATAATTATTCAAAAATATGCTGTAATTGCTGACATCTTAAGCAACAAAGAAGTGTGTGTTTACGCTTTATTATAATAGTATAGATATAGGTTATTTAGTTGACTCGTTAACATGTATTTTTTATTTAATTCCAGAGGTCAATAATTCAGATTTCTTCACAATCAACTTGTATCCGTCACGGGATCTCATGGATAAGGCATTCGCGGAGCTGACGGCTTACTTAAACTGGACGAGGATGGGAATCATATACGAGGATTATGGATATGGTGAGACTACCAATATAAAAACTAGCTGTTCCCGTGCGGTTTCATCCGCATAGAATTAAAAAAATCATTTTATTGTTTACATTTGTCAAATTATCAATTGCAAATGTCAAAATGACATGACATGATGACAACCTTGCTTCCTTGATGGCAGCAACTTATTTTCTCTTTCCCACATTAGGGTATTTATCTAAAATATTTACCCCCTAAGTTTAATGGCGTTAATTATAGCCTAGAGTGACGTAAGTGTAGGGCTTATTAAAAAAAGAATTATTCAGAAATATACTGTAATTGCTGACATCTTAAGCAACAAAGAAGTGTGTGTTTACGCATTATTATTAATATAGAGAATTAATAAATATTTAATCGACTTTAATAATCATTTTGATATAATTTCCAGGAGAAATAAATATTTTAAATATGGCGCGCGATGGTCGTGATATGTACACAGTCCGTTGCGCGGACTCTAAGGACTACCGACGCGGGCTGCAGCAACTAAAAGCGCAACGGATATCGCACATTATAGTAGACACTGACCCGAAGCATTTGAGACTGTTCTCTAGGGCTGTGAGTTGATTTCTTTTTTATTTAAACCTGCCTGTTATAAATTGCTAGCTGTTCCCATGCGGCTTTATCCGTATATTATAGAAAACATTTAATTTTTATATTTCTTATATTAATTGAAAATGTTAAAATTTAAATATTTTACTTCTAAGTTTAATAGCGCGAAAATATGTAGACTTAAGCGTGTCGAAGTCGTAAGTGTAACTTCCTATAGTAGTGAGTAGTGAGTGTGAGTGGTGTATTTACCTTTTCTTATTTTAGTATATGTTTAAATTTTTGTAAAGTTGTAAACTGTTTTCATTTGAATTTTTAAAAGTACGTGCCTGTTTTTAATTATGATTGATTAATAATAAACTAGTATTAGACAACTTATTTAATTGATACTGTCGCTTTAAACTCAGAGCAATACTTCTCGTCAAGACTCAAGTTACGCGCCAATCTATCCATACTTCTAGTGACATTGACAGCTGTCAGCTAGGGACGTGACGTTTATGCCGATAATCTAGAGTTGCGCCAATTCTATAGCACGGTACTAATTTTATTCCTAACACTAGGAATAAAAATAAAAATTGAAAATTAAGAAACAACGCCATCTAGTGAAAATCTCACGAACTAATTTTATTTCTTTCGCAGATTCTTCAGTTGCAGATGAATAATGAAAATTATCACTACATTTTCACATCTTTTGTGAGTACAATTTAATATCATTTTATATACATTTATTAAATAAAATATTTCACTTTAAATATTTTCTATACAGGATATGGAACTTTTCGATTTGGAGGACTTTTATTATAACCGAGTTAATATGAGCGGTTGGCGATTGGTTGATCGCGATTCAGATAAAGTGAAAGAGGCTCTCCAAGTTATGCAGAAATTCCATCCAATTGGTGCAAATATTCTTACAGGAGGACATATTAAGGTGAGTGTCTTGTATGACCCAAGTATCTATATCTATACTATTATAATAAAGCGTAAACACACACTTCTTTGTTGCCTAAGATGTCAGCTATTACGGCATTTTTGAATAGTTCTTTTATTAATAAAAATACTACACTTACAACACGCTTTGGGATATATATTTTTACGCCATTACTTTTTTAATTTCGTGTAGTTTCGCTCGTTTAGCACAACCCTAGCCTTCGTTTGTTTTTAATTTTGTGTAGTTCACTCGTTTAGCACAACCCTAGCCTTCGTTTGTTTTTTAATTTTGTGTAGTTCACTCGTTTAGCACAACCCTAGCCTTCGTTTGTTTTTTAATTTTGTGTAGTTCACTCGTTTAACACAACCCTAGCCTTCGTTTGTTTTTTTTTTAATTTTGTGTAGTTCGCTCGTTTAGCACAACCCTAGCCTTCGTTTGTTTTTTATTTGAGTCGTTTATTCGTTTGGCCCAACCCTAGCCTTCGTTTGTTTTTTTTATTTTTGTGTAGTTCGCTCGTTTTACACAACTCTAGCCTTCGTTTGTTTTTTTTTTTAATTTTGTGTAGTTCGCTCGTTTAGCACAACCCTAGCCTTCGTTTGTTTTTTATTTGAGTCGTTTATTCGTTTGGCCTAACCCTAGCCTTCGTTTGTTTTTTAATTTTGTGTACTGGGCTCGTTTAGCCCAACCCTAGCCTTCGTTTGTTTTTTAATTTTGTGTTTTTTACTCGATAGCACAACCCTAGACTTCGTTTGTTTTTTATTTGAGTCGTTCATTCGTTTCCCAACTTATTATTTCTGTCATCGCTAAATTCTCTACACTATAATCAATACTAGAATTATCCTCTAAATTAGTTAAAAAGAAAATAATAATTTTAGTTGAGTTCGATAAATATTTAAACCGAATATCGATAGTTCATTATTGTTTCGTCACTACGATACCTGTCTATTAAGTAACATTTGCCTTCATACAAATTTAATCCGATATTTAATATGCGTCATTTATCAAACTAATTAGACAAACTATAAAAGTATTCAGTATTCGTTTGATTTTACTTCAAAAACTAAAAAACTCCTAGTATCATGACCTCTTGCAGACAGAACCAGCCCTTCTCTACGACGCGGTGCAAGTCCTCGCGTTAGGGTTAGCTTCCAGTAAAGAGGTGCATACTGCCAACATGTCTTGCGAGAGCGGCATGGCTTGGATACATGGGAAGACTTTGAGAGATAACATCAATAAGGTACCGGATTTTAGTAATATACACAATTCTATGACAAATATGAACGGAATCGGCAAAAGATATGGACATTATTTTTATTTATTTATCTGTAAATATAATTAAAATAGCTTCCGCCCGCGACTCCGTCCGCGTGGTATGATAAAAACAAAAAACAAAACCGACTTCCAAACAAAATACACGAAAAACAAAATAAAATGCACTAAAAACAAAACAAAATACACCAAAAACAAAATATTC